ACGGAAGCTGCAACTTCGACCAAATTCACCACCTTGAAGACTGTCATTTGCTGTTTGCTTTGTATTCACGCGCGCATGCCACCCTCACGTGTCTTTTAAAGTCGCACATTTGTGGTTTGTGTGGGGAGATGCGCTTTTGCCCTGATGATTGGATAATAAGTAACATTGTGCAAATAATTGCGTGAAGTCGAGAGTGCAGTTGATGCTCGTTTAAGAAGAGGGTCGATCTATATCGTCATATGCTGACCATTAGAGTGCAGCAAAGCGTATTCAAGTTGCTTGTTGAAATGCGGATGTGCTGATATTGGTGTTAAGATCCAGCATTACGCACACACACACACACACACTTGCCCCATGGCCTGTCGCTATACTCACAGTAAATTGGTTTTTTGAATTTCTTGTGGACTGATAAAGATAGATTGATGCATTGACAATGCTAGAACTGAAATTGCTCGTTCCAATCATCCCAACATAGTCACGTGGTTGGCTGTGCGTTCACAGCCGTCACCACGGCTAACTCTTGACTCAACGAATACCCTTATGAGGTAATTTTGACTATATCTGCTACTCCCTCAAAATAAACCTGCTGAACTGCAGTTTCTAATCTAAAAACGTGTCCCCTACATCCTTTAATCAGACATTCTCTTCTTCTTCTTTGTAAACACACGAATCGCTCAGACTACTTCACAATCACGCGTTCGAATTGATGTCGTCACATTGCACACGAAGATGCACCTACTGTCGACTGATTTCGTCGTCAAAGAAGGATCGGTGATTTTGGCGAACATGATCCACTCCACTACACGCTAACACTGTGACCGTACTCTGAAGCGGTCCGCTTGTCGATGCAAAAGTGATATCACTTGACTCCTGCTCACACTGCTGTCAAGGTCTGCCTGCTGAGACACGCGACGCCCAACGTAACCCAGACAATGAGACGTTGTTGATCACGCACTAGACAGGGTCGTGTTGTCTCCTTGTGTGGCAACTTTTCTTTTTACATTATCACACTAGCATAGCTTTTTATTTGCGGTTTAATGCGATGGTGCAAATGCCTAAATTCACACATCATATTTAGACTTCAACTAAGCTCAATGAGATGAATCCACCTGCATTAGTCGTACTTGGACTCTTCACTCAGAATAACGTATTCTTTTAAGTTTTTAAAATGACAATGTGTTGCATCCGGTCAATCGGCACTGCTACAAATACATTTCTTGTAAACTGCTTTGAAGGAACCTTTTTGGTAAACTAACTAAGCCAATCAACCTACAAGACATTGCAAGTCAAAAATACGTGGCTTCGCATAGGGAAACACAATACTAATTACTGCTGTAGTTATTGGTACTTTTAAAGAATGATATGGAATGATCTCTTTGCTTATTCAATTTAATGTAACGCGAGTGTTAGCAATGACTAATGTTTCAAAAAGTAGTTTGGCTCGAGTAAATTAAGCCCCAAGTTCGGTATCGCTGGATTTCATTCACACCAACAACAATTTGTAGAACTCGTTCAGTGGTTGTGTAGTCTTGAAGCGTCCGATTAATTATCAACAACCCACTAAGCTGACTATCAGATGGTTTGGCTGTCATTACCACAGCATCCTGTAGAGCCACCAAATTCAGCCAAATTGACTGAAGAACAGGCCTTACATTTGAAGGATGACCAATTTTGCATTACGCAAAAGGAAAGTCGTCTACTTAGGGTGCTGCCTTTGCAATAACGCCTACTAGACTTCATTCAGTAATAAAATGGTCCACGCTTGCTAGCTTTCAGTACAATGTGGTTTTGATTAATATGATCAAGGGGTTTGAGCAGTCATTGCTCTGAGGCAAATTGCTAATGAACTAGTCAAACAAGGTCATTAGAAGGACATAATTTTCAATTGAAAAAGTGGTTTTTGCACAAATATTAATAGGCACACTCCGTTTGAGGTGCTGCCGGCAGTTTGAATGAAGACGACCCAGTCAGCAGACACGGTCCGACGAGAGCCTGTACCGACGTCGCTGTCATGCTACCAAGAGTAGACGCAGACAACACAGAGACAACATAATGTCCTGTCCAAGGTTGCCATCTACTTTCTGACACACGGGCCCCAATTTCCACATTTAGACTTGCCTTTTTACTGGAAGACTGTCAGGTGGATGTCCTATTCGGACTGAGGATTTGCGACAAAGCGATCGCCTTCGTCACGGTCCCAGTCCGCAATTGAACACACGAGTTAATTAGAACACCGAACAATCGATGTCACTGCATACAACCACTATTATGGACCTTTATATCTTGCTGCAGGTTCAGGTGGGTCACCGGACATCACAAACATGCTTTTTGTTTGTTTGTGGAAACTAAGCGTCTGTCTCAATATTTATAGTAAACAAAGAAATTTGTTCAGATTAAGGTAAAGTGCATGTAAACTGGCTCCTGTACTCTCGGTGGTAATACAGTCCTACTTAAACGTCGAAGGCACTAGTGTGGCAACACCC